AGCATTCCATCCTAGTGCTTTGCAAGCTGTTCATGATATGTGATTTACCACTGGCCTGCTGAAACACCGCTCTATAGATGTTTCCATTGCAATTTGGTGGGGACATTATAGGACAAATCACGAGAAACAGATCATATGTGGTGGCCACTGGGAAAAAGTTCCTGAATTTCTTTTGCTTATCACATGAGCAATAGACAGCTCTTGCTGGCACACACTGAGTCCACCTGAGTCCTTGTCTGTGCTTGGTGTGTGTGTATCCACCCCAGGCCAGGGGGGAGGCAGATATATTTTATTCAGTGTAAAAGCAGCTTCTAAAATCACTTTAGCGCACCATGCCTTGAAATGGGCTGCTGTCATCCCAGGCAAGAGAATAGATATGGATGATTATCTATAATAATTATCTACATATAATTATCTATTTAGTCAGTTTATTGCACTAGCCAAGACCCCTGTAAGGGCTACAGATGTTTAGCAGCTGGTCATACTGAAGTATCTTCCAGATACTTCAGAGCTTCTCTAGTCCAGGATCACATAGACCAAGCCCCTGGCTGCAGTAGCAGGTTTTCTTCATTAAAAGTGCAAGTATTTCTCCTATTTTAGTAAGTTTATTAAACCTGACATGCAGTATTTAATACCACTGATTGTTCAGTCTGGCTGCAAACTGTGTGTGATCATCCGTGTTCAGTTTAGTAAATACCTGACATTATCTGGTGTCTGAAAAGACAAACTGTGGAACTCTGCCGTGGCACTTTTGAAATTGCTTTTCTGAACACAGCAGTGCTCTACGTGCTTGATATTAATTATGGAATAGGAGCAAAAAAACAGGTGATTATTTGTAAAAAAAAATGCTATGCTGATGTTATGCTAAGCTACTTGGTGAGATGTCTCTCTTCCATCCAATCTCAGAAGTAGCTCTGTGCCAGGTGATAGTTGGGCACAGGGTTGTTGGGCACAATAATGGAGAAGACTGAAAAAAAGATGAATTGGAGAGTCAACGTGAAGAAGAACAGCACACACACACTGAAGGGACACTGACAGGTATAGAACTACATTTTAATTTGTGAGTGTTGGATGGGGACTCTCTTCTGTGGCTGTGTGGAGATACAGTTACTTATGTCTAGAGACCAGCTTTTTCAGCCCAAATGTTTGAGATGGCTATGTACAGTAATTCCTGTGTTTCAGTGTTAAAAGGCTTTGAGATACAGATAGATTAGTAGGCAATGAACTTTTCCAATTCCTGAGGGTGATTTGCAATTTATTCTGGTGTGTCTGCCTGCAGATGCTAATCTTATTCACAGCAAATAAATCTTTCCTCTCCTCCACTTTCCTTCATAACTTTCCATTTTTGGGGATTACTATTTGGCATCGTTGTCTTTGGCTGTTTTTAAATTTTGTGTCTGTTCAGGAGAGATTGAAGAGGTTTGCTTTGCCATTTCCCTAAAGTGTGCAATACAATGCTGCCATCTTAAATCCTGCTTTACTGTTCCTGAGGAGTCTGAATCTGGCAGAAGGAGCATCTAACCCTTCTTTTACAGAGTCACAGAATACTCTGAGTTGGAAGGGACCCACAAGGATCATCGAGTCTAACTCTTAAGTGAATGGCCCATACAGGGATTGAACCTTTGATGCTGGCACTATTATCACCAAGTTTTAAGCAACTGAGCTAATCTCAGGGTGAGGTTGCAATCCAGCCCTGATTCTTGAAAGTTAAAAAAAAAAAAGGGCATATTTTGGCTTGTTGCACCTCAGTGTGTTCACATCACAGTTGGTACCAGCCACCTCCAGGCCAGTGTGGGACAAGGAGTGCACTGCAGGAGGTGAGCCTCTCTGCTCAGGGGAGGTGACTCCCATCTAAGTTTGTGGATTGCCAATTCCCATGAGTCCGAAAACCTGCTTTGCTGCTGCTCTTGCTTCTTGTATGAAGGAAGGACTGCAGGTTCCCAGGTAAAAGCTGTAACAGTAAACATATTCTACAAAATATCCCTGGTAAAATTCATGAATCCTATGCCACTATCTCTGGTGCAAGTGTTCCTGAAGGATCCTGCCCAATCCCTCACCTGGGGAAGTGCAAACAACAGAGAGAGGTTTCTGGCCCCTCAATTCTCATCACCTTTTGCATTTTGATTTCTTAAACTCTTATTACTAAAAACAAAACTGTGGCTTTGCTGTAATCTAAGGAAACTGAAGAATGGAGACAGTCGCTTCAGAGAGTGGAGATGGCTTTGCTTTGCAGGGGTCTGATGAGGTGCCATTCATTACTGCATGTAAAGTGCTTTTTCAAGGCTCGAGTGAAGGTGCCTTAAGAGAGCCTCTGCTTTGACTTAGTAACAGCTGGGGATGTCCTTCTCTGCAGTGTCTGCAACTTGGCATTTTTTTTCTCTTTGATTCTCTCTAGGGATGGAGGGATAAGTGGAACAGGATATTAGAAAACACTGCAAAAGGAAATGTTAAGGTTGGCTTAATTAAGAAAACCTAGTTGTTGGAATTATTAATTGTAAATTCTCTTGAGAATAATTTCATGAGAGATTGAATTACTGCAGGCCATGGCCTGATCTGAATGGATGGCAATGTTTTCAATGACAGCGTTGAGGTTATGCGTCTGTGTGCGTGTGTCTCTGTGTCAATCAGATCTTGGATTTCATAATTTCACAAATTAAATTCCTTCTTTTATTCAGTTAGTGTGTTAAAGATGATTCGCATTGCTTATTGCAACTCTGATCCTCTGGCCTGATTACACACAGCATTAGCTCTGGTCATGGGCACATCCAGGGAGCAAAGCGCTGTGCTGCTGGGGGCAACTCCAACCATGACAGGGAACTCAGAGAAATTCTCATTTGGTTTATGGCACAGCTGAACATCCCGACTGATGTGTGGCTGATCTCACTGCAGGGGCTTGTAATCACGTCCTCAGGTCCCTCCTGCTGTGTGTGTCTATGGAGTGATGTGTGGAGACACCTGCCGTGCAGGTGCTGTGCTGTGTGTGGCTGTTCACATCCTAGGGAGCCCTGACAGCCCCCCCAGGGCATGTTCATGCCAATCCATCACCCTGATTATGCACATCTATGTTTCCAGCCCCTGCACTCGTTTGGGATGAGCAAGCCTTCACTCTGTGCTGAAGGCAAGCACTGTGGTTTGATCACTTCTTGATCTTGGATGTGATATCTCACAGCAGAAACCCGTGGGTTTCTCATCAGGCACTGTTGTGGTGCAAAAAATCCAGAGAAAAGGAGAAAAGGAGCCTGTTTGTTGAAGAAGCTGATTGTATGAAAAGTCCAGACTGTCTTTCAGACCAGCATATTAAGTGTTGTCAATGCAGCTACTTACATGTTGAAAAGATTTCTGTAGTGGGTTGGTTTTTTGGATTTTTTAGGCCTTCCTTAGCAACGGGGTCAGAGATCTAAGGAAGTATTCCATATCATCTCTTTCCATAACACAACTTATAAAAAGGTGCAGATAAGAGGCCTTCGCCCTCTTTGCTCTTCCAGTGGCTGAGGATGACAGGTCCCTCTCGCACACAGTTTTGCTTGTATAGGCCAAAGCCTGCCTGCTCCGACCTGCCGTTATCTCCGTTCCATTCGGGAGGCTTGGGGAGTTAGTTCTGCTGTCCCATTCAGAGAAGTATTTAATCCATTTTTTTTTTGTACTTATTCGCTAGGTGTACTTATTGAAGGTGTATATTTAGAAGATATTTGGTTTTAGGTTTCTTTTTATCCCTGTTTCCCCCTTCCTTTTCCCTTTTTCCCCCTCTGGAGCTCCCTGTTGTGTATAATATATTCAAATTGTACATATAAATTGTAAATATATGTAATATATATATATTTGATATAATCCCGTTTCATTCAGACTTCTTTCAGGGTTTTTTTTTCTGTTGTTCGGTTTTTTTTCCCTCACTTGGGGAGAGTGGGAGGGGGAAGGAGACAGCCTGGACTTGGCAGGAGAGCCAGGCCAAACTGATACAATTTCTGAGATCTTGGCTGTATTGAACAGCTTGACCTCACCTTTTTTAATACTGAGCAACTTCAGAAAAATAGTCCCCTCCTGGGGACTGGATCCATAGAGATATCAAATAGGTCAAGCGGTTTGCTACTGGTTGCTTCTTTTTATGTTTTGTTTTCCCTGAAAATCTGGCTTTTTCTTAGGACAACTTAGGTGCAAACTAAATTTCTTCAAGTGGAAAACACAAAATGATATGAAGAAACACTCTGAGCAAATCAGACATGGCAGCTGCCCAACAGATAGTGGCAAGGGGTCAGTGTTGAGCCACACTTGTGCACACCTGGAGGTGCCAGGCAGCCTGGTCCCCAGCAGAAGCTTTGCAACCACAGGGAAATAAGGGACACAGGCCCAAGGTGTGGGGGGCATCTTTACTGTGGTTGTTGACAGAGACCCACTGTACCCCCACTTACATGTTCTCCTGTGAGACTTCTGCTCCTTAAGTGATTAAGGTTTAAACCAGGTCCTAGTAACTTGCTGACTTGGAGCTGTGAAACAGTGGCCATCCACAGATCACGCATACCTGGTTTTGCCTGCAAATGCCACCTATTTGGCGTGCAGGTCATGGTTTCGGTGAATACCACTAGTGGTACAGACAAACCTTGCCAGGAAGAGCCAAAGCAGTTAAGGACAAAGGGCTGGTACTGTTCAGCAGAGTTATCTGAGAGCTGGGATAGCCACCCATGTCCTTGTGTCCAGCCCACCCTGCCCTGAGGTGGCTGGAAAGCATTGCTTGTGAGTGTTGGGGGGCATGCTGGGGACAGTGGTCCCCTTTCCTACGCCTGCGGGCAGACTACATTGAAAGGCTTTTTAAATTCAGTTCTTTCTAAAGAAAATGGCTCTATACTCAGTGGCTGAATAAAGATGCTGGCTTTTGCCTCTAATGGTCTTAGAGTGTAAACCTGTAACTTATGTTGCAGTATATTCTCTACATCCCTTCACCTACACACCCAGAGCACAACCAAACATCTTCCCCATGTATTTCAGAAAACATCAAGACAGAAAAGCAACCGGTAATATATCTGACTGTATTTCAAAGTTGTTGATTGTAAACAAACTTTGTCGAATAAATAAAATCACATGACAAGATATCAGAGTGATACTATAAATCCATTTTGTTATTGTTGCCACACTTCACATTTTTGGAACTCAGAATTTAGCTCATGGTGTACAAAACTTGTAAAAATTTATTGCAAGCGTGCCTTTGTGTAGAACAAAACCGGTGTCACAAAAGTAGTTCCCTGTCCTGTGCAGAAATACAGTTGTGTATCTCTTACTGGGAAGAGGTCACACACCTGCATTTCCTGAAAGACTTGGCTGTTATAAAATTGCTCTGAGAAGGTTTTAAAAAAGAAAAAAAAAAAAAGCAATTTGCAGTGTATGGTTTACCTCTGGAATTTATGCTTTCAACAGGAATCTTTAGAATTATAAAGAATATGGAACTTTGCAACAGAACTGCAGTTGCTGATGGTGTGAGCACAGCCCAGTAGTCTTGAAAGCCTTTGGCCAGCTAAGGCCCATCCTCATGTTTGGTACTGTCACTGCATTTGATGGAATGTAAGTTGCACACACTGAAAATAAATGAAAAAAAAACGTTGAGGGAGAGATTCCTTTTCCAGAATCCCCATTGTTCCTGTTTCTACTGTGGTGCTTCCACAGTCTGTTACTTCCATGCTGTGCTGACATGCAGCAGTGCTGTGACTCCAAGGTTGATGACTACTGATCATGTATAGTATAAGGAAAGGCATAGAGTGAGGCCAGGGATGTAGCTAAAGCAGGGTTTATGTTGCTAAAGCAGCTGTGCAGGACTGTATGTGTTAAACATCAGCCTTTTTTTTTTAATTCAAAGGTAGCAGGGGAGGGGGGCACACATGCTGGAATGATGAGAGTTGAAGGGATCATGTGGGTCCTCTCCCTCCACATACCCAGCCTCTGAAGTTTCCTCTGCCTCCTCAAACCCACTGTTCCTCTTGAATGCCTCCTTGTGTCAGACCATGCTGATTAGCTTCACAGGATCAGATTAATCTCTGGATTAAACCTGAGTTTTGTTATCTTTAATCTCACCCCCAGACCATGGGGTCAAGCTATTTTTTTTATTTTGGTACTGAAATGCCAGGCTTATAACTAGAAGAAAAATCCAGGTTGGAAAAGAAAGTCCAAAACACCTGCAAACTGTTTTCCATCAAATGAGTAACTCCATTTCATAGAGACATGCAAACTGTTCAGCAGTCATGTTTTGCATATACCTTGACACAGATTGAGAACAAGACCATAAAGTTACTTTGACACCAGCGGGTTTAGGTTCTGGATGGTGCTTTGCTTTTCACTTTCTAGGCTTTTATGGGGAACTACTGGAAACAGGTCAAAATACTCTGAAGTCCAGAGCACACTGTAAATACTTGAAGTGTGAAAGTATTTGCCAGATTCTTTATTTTTGAAATGGAGTTGCCAGGGCTGGGAGCAAACTGCATAAGCCTGGCATCTTCCCTGCCTTAGAAAAACATCTGAGATTATCTTGACTATGAAGTCTGTTTGTCCAAGGAGCTTGGATCCTAAATTACACTTATCCCTTCCCCCATTTGTGTATCTGGTCAGGTTGTACACACTGTGGTCCTACAGCACGGCATGATGGTCCACTCCCACTGGGTTCTTCATCCAGGTCACCCAGGCATTCAAGGGTTGTTCAGTTACAGCAAATGATGCTTTCATGGTAAAGATTTTTGCACCACTGATCATGTGGACCACCTTGACATCTCATACAAGCAATTATTACTTCAGCAAAGTGATACAAAAGGGGTTTACCACTTAAGGCCTTTTTGTGATACCTAAAAGCTGTTCACCAGACCCATCAGAGTGGAAGGGTTTAAAAATAAAACAAAACCCCAAAAGACTCCCCAGACCCTGTCAAAGCCCCTCTGACAGTGATCCAGAGCTGAGGAATGTTACAGCCATTCCAGTTGGAGCAGTGGGTGTGGTGGTGCTGATGCCTGTTTTGTGTCCACAGGAACCTGACAGGGCAGCACTAATGGGGCAAAGCAGGCAACACCCTTACAGTGATTGCAATCAGTACAGGCTTCAGAAACAATACCCTGTTTCATCTGAGATTTGCAAAATAGCAAAAAGGACCAGCAAAGCAATGCTATAAATGTAAACTGAAGGACCAACTCTGTGTTGTCAACTCTTCCAGACTGACCAAGAACCTGCAGGATGACTTGGATGTGCTTTAAATGCATGGAATGAGGGAAGCAAAGGAAAGCATAGGGCAGGAAACTTCTCCAAGGCTACGTTTCTGAAGAGACAGAGCTTTTGCTCAAAAGAAGAGGAAGATACCCTTTCTGAACAAAGCACAGCTGTTCCTAACTGTTTTCAACAGTGATATGATGAAGATACAGGGGTGCTTCCAGTTCATAATGCTTCTGGAAACAAAGGTAGCTTAGGGAAGAATTGTTACCAGAATGAATATCTATCAAGTAGCACTGGTGACAGGCTTGCATATGAGCAGATGATGTGATCTGTCGGTGCAAATATCCTAGTTAATAGCAGGCCAAATATATACCTGTTTTCAGCTTAAGAGTTCCTTGCCTCTGAGAAACAACAGCCTTCAACACTTGAATGTTTTTCTCAGCCAGATTGAGATGAGTTCGTTTTACAACCAATCTTACACCAGTCCTACCAAGAAGAAAGTGGCATGGCAAACTCCACAACAGAGATGGACGGAAGACTTCATATTCCATCTAAGCCTCACCAACTTTTCTCAACTCAGTAATTCTTTGCCTGAATTTCACACTCATTACTGGACTATCGTAGAGCTTCACATTTTCCATTTATCTCCTTTAAGTTCCTCTGAACTGTTTGCGCTCCTATGTTTATCACATTTTTTCTTACCTTCGGTGCAACTTGGTTTTGACTCATGCTGACCTGTATGATGGAACCTGTGCTAAGTCCCACAGTCCTTACTTCAGCAGGAGAATGATATTTAGCATGCTTTCATTTCTAGTTTGGAAAAGTGCATTTGAACAAGAACCAAGTAGCTGAAAAGATAGAACATGGCCTTAGTCACAGAAGTGCAAACTCCACTTTACAGTTTCATTACCCCTTTATCTGTGCTGTGCCTTGGTGTCTGATTAAGAAAGGGGAAGCTCCTGTTTGAGAAGCTAATGATGTCTCATGAGTGCTGAGGTTGTTACACCACTTTGCAATCCTTGCTTGGAAACTACCACAGATGCGCAGAATTATCAGTGCAGCATAATCCCTAAAATCAGCTTTAGGACTAGGGGACTAAGGCATGTAAGAATAAGATTGGAGGCTTCTTTCACTACTCACCAGCTCAAGACAGACTCCTAAATAAATGTTAGAAGGAAAGTAAAAAGTACCCTCTCTAGACCAAAAAAAAAAAAAAAAAAGAAGGCCACAGTAATATAGCTGGAGGTAAAGAATGGGAATGCTGTGTTTGAGTTGCTGTCCTTAATGTCAGTCTGGAAACAGGCAAATTCATTTTTCTCTAGGAATTACCTGAAGAAAACAAAGTTGTACTTCTATAAATTAGGATTCTTGGACTCCTTGTAAATATACAAGGGTTGAGGATAGAGAATAGAAATGGAAAATGGAGATGAGATTTCTTTATACTGTGCCCTAGTGTCAAGTGCACAGATGGGCTGAAGTAAAAAGTGGCAGAGTTTCTGCAAGCCCTTGAAGCATTTTTCAACTGAGACAACAGTGGAAACCACTTCACAGTGGCTTCCAAGCTCTAGTGAGCGTTATATCACACACTGGGAAAAGAAATGTTTTCCAAGAATGGATCGTGGCATGACAGACAGTTCTTGAAAGTACTGTGCATAGAAGGTGATCAGTATGTCTTACCGATGCTCTCAGTTCTTTGAAACAAAGTTTGCATACCATAAATAAGTCCTTATCAGTTTTAAGAAGTACATATGAATGAAAATTCAATTCAGCAGGAGAGAAATGAGCCATGCTGTGCTCCCTTGGCTTCTTCAGCATCAAAGTTTGTTGTTGTGGTGGGTTTTTTTGGTTTGGTTTGGGTTTTTTTGTTTGTTGTTGTTGTTTGTTTTTTGTTTGGTTTTTTTTGAGAAAGTTTAGAGACATTCCTCTGTGACCCGGCTGGCATTTCCACTGCATTTCATCTACTGCTGAGTTTTACGATCTTACCTAGATTGTCTTAAGGCTACAAAAAAGCCCCCCAAACAAACCAAACTATCATTTCACAAGTCATTGCACAATTAGGCACACACACTATAACTAGCATCCTTGCACTACTTTGAGACTAACTTCCCCTCCCTCCCCCCGCCCTTTAACTAGGGAGAAGCTTTAATATTATGAGCAGGTGGGGAACCAAATCTGAGAAAGCCAGTTTGCAGTAAACGAAATGTTACAGAGGCTGAGCTGCAGTTAACAAACTTTAGCCTTTTAAAAATTATTCAGTTTCTTCCTTAATTACTTTGCCTTGTTTGTAGTAACAGAGAAAGTGCAAGATGCTTTTTCAACAAGCAGAAATCCTAACTTTCCCCAACCCTATCCACTTCCAGTCAATAAAAAGAAAAGATAAGGGGGAAGAGTCATCTGTAGATCTAGGCTATGCTTTGGTGACTTTTGCTTGTTGGCTTCAAGAGCCAAAATTCAAGCATTTTGTACATATAAATATATATAAATATTTTTGCTTACTTATGGAATGTTTGTGCATGTTTAGAACACCAGTTCAAAATGATGAGGGATGGTTAAGGCTAAGAAAATGAAATTCATTGCAAAGCTATAATTTTGTTTTCATTTTTCTCCTTTACAAAGGAGACTAAAGCATCTTCCCTGTAATAGTCAGCCACTGTGTAATCCCCCGTCAACACCAATTCTAGGGAAAACTACTCAGGACCCAGTCCCTGAGGCAAAAAGCTAGGACCTCATGATTTGAGCTCAAGTAATCCACATAATTAACAGCATACATTAGTGAAAAATTAAATATTCCAAGGCCTCAGACCTACTTTCACCTGAAAAAGAAAAGGCATTTTCTGTATGGGGTGGCCTAGATCCAGGCCTTTAAGCATACATAGTAATTTAACAATTGGCCAAGGGCTCCAGGTTTATCCCAGGGGCCCACAATATAGCTGGAGAGTGCTCTGCCTACTCCTCAGGAAATGCCAAGTGGCTCTGAGGTGGTCTTGCAAACCATCCCATATCTGCTGGGGTACAGGTACCCTGCAAATGCTCCAGCATGGCAGGGGAATGCAAGGAAGCAGATACTGTTCATTCAAGCCATCCCACCAGCAAAGTTCCAGCCAGACCTTTCCTTACTGCCCCAATCTTGACTACCATATAAATTTATGGGATATAATGAACTATTAGCTACTCTTCTTAATCCAATATCAGCTGGCATTGTCTGAAGCAGGGAGCAATAAGAACACCATTTGCCTTTTGGTACCTCTGTGAAATTTCCTGAAAAAAGGAAGCTGTGGGCTTATATTGCTGAACATTTGTTTTTAATGCTTCAGGCTAGCTCCTCTCTCTGAATACTTAGAAGACTGACAATAACCAGCTATCACACACAGTCTGAAGAGGGGTGTTCTCAGTTCTCTGTGGGGCTAAGAAGTTCTGAACTCATCCTTGGCTTCCTATGCAGCTTGGCATTGCCAAGGACTAGAGTGGTGCAAACCTTCTCCCTCCTTTTGAGGCTAGGAGGCCTCAGTGCACAAGGTTTTGTCCTTTCTCCCATGTTTCCTGGGAGGAGACCTTGTGGACTGAGAAGCGAAAAGGGATGCTTAGGAATCCCGCTCTTGTACATTGTGCAGCCGGCAGGCAGAGCAGGACACGTGGGACAGGCTCCAGGCTGTATGACAAGCAGAATCACTGTGGAGATGGCCATTCTCTTACTCTCCCTGCAACCAGGTGAGATCTGCCTCTAAGTCTACTCCAAAAAATAAGACTTTGGTGGAAACAGAAAGGTATCAGTGCAAGGATACTCTATGGGCTAGTCATTAATTTACTAACCCCTGCTCCATTCTTTCTCTGTTATTATTTACATGCTGTGCATTTGCACATTGCATAATGATGAAATCTCGGGAATTTTCAAATTCACGTTGGTTACCATCTATTGCCTCTTGCCAGATAGATACATATAACCTGGTGATTTATGATTGTAAATCATAAATCAGTAAATCAGTTGATCACTCCATTCCTCTTGAATCAACTCAAGTCATTCTTCAGTAAAACTTTTCAGGCTTGGGGACCTAAAACCAGGTGGTCCTCTAAGCAACATGGTTTCTGCCCCATAAGTTAATGCAATTCTGTTTGTGTTTGTCACTGCTAACCTTTAGAACATGGAGTTTTTTGCTGATTGAGTTGTGGACTGAAATCAATAAAGTGTAGAGGGCAGGGTAGCATTTCACTTCAGTATCAATTCTCCCTTGTTTCAGTCATACCTCTCTCTCTAGGTATTGTTTTCTGAAGCTCCAGCAGCCTTCAGATTCCACCAGCACCAAAATGTGGCATTTCAGGCTTGGCCACCAGCTCACGACGATGCTTGTCCTCTACAGTGTTACTAAGAACAGAACTCTTTGGGCTTGCTCTGTTTTAGTGAGGTTTAAGGTCTGGTTGCAACTGGACTTCTTTTTGTAAAACACGATGCTATGTTATTTTGCTAAACATGTAATCTGCTCAATTACAGCTACTGTAACAAGCCCTGAATTCTAACTAAAAGAATTCCTACAGAACACACCACAGTGATAATGGGAAACACACGGCTATTAGTGACTTATTTTTTTCCTGCCAACTGTGTGTCAAATAGAGTTCTAAACTGGACCAAAAAAGTCTTGACAGTTACAAAGTAAAAAGCAAGAAACTGCTGTTCCTAAAACCTTAACAGTCCATTAGATTAGCTTTTTAAGCAACATTTAAGATACAGTTGAAATCAAGAAAAAATACAGATGTTATACTCTGATTTCTCACCTGTACACTGACCGTGGCAGTTAAGATGTGAGGCAGTTTTACTTAATGGTTTACTCATTGTTAATACTTACAGTATTAATCACTGGGTGTTTGTGTATAAAATGTTTTGTCCTGGTTAAAAAAGAAAATCAATATAACGTATTTTCATTTTAAATTCACTGATGTATTTGGTTTCTCCTAATTTTTCTGTGTACTAACTGGGATCAAATTGCCTTAGGTGACATTAATAAAAACAGGAAAAAGAAAAAAAAACACAGAAAGAAAAAATCTTGACTGGTCCTCAGTTCCTGGCTGCCTGCCTGTGAAGGTTTTGTTTGTCAATATGCTTGCTTCAGTGTTCATGTATCTGAACTGCTCTGTTTATCACACTGGGAGGACAGCAGCAATGCCCTACAGGATGGCAGGCACTCCCAGCCACAGCCCATGGTGCAGACTTACATTGCTTGTCCCAGAATTTAGTAACTCCAAGTATGCTAAAGAGTTTTCCATAATACCTGTCTAGGACTGCTGAGCTATGCCAGCTTACGACAAGCTCTTGGCCCAAGAGTAACTTTACAAGATGACCCTGTTCAACAAATAGTATTGAGATGACAACTAGTTTAAGTCTTTTTTGGGTGTACAGATTCCCACAGGGCATTCACATATGCAATTTTGTGTCAGCTTTTCCAGTGGCACTTTCTGCACAACATGTCTACATCCAGCTGCTATTAGGAACAAAGTTTCCACCTCTCTAGTGGCATCACTTGGCATTTTTGGATGACAGCACTGGTAGTGTCACAAGTTCCTTGCTTTGCTGCTCCAGATGTGGTATCTTCTGCTTACCCTTCAGCCTCTGCCTACGCCACCAGGAACAATGCATCAATGGGAGGGTGAGGTGTCTTCCAAGCCCAGAAGCTCCTTTACAAGTCTCTCACCAAACTGTGCACGGCTGTACCTTGTCACATGGTAGGCCTCTGACATTTTGTAGAGGATGTAGGCATTATTTATGGCGATGCTGATGGCAAACCAGAATACTTGTTGCCAGGTCTTGTTTGGTTTGTGAGAAATGAAATACCTAAAAAGCCAAGAGAGTAGAGAAAAGCACTGTTAAGCCAAACAATTGCAGCTGGGATGCAAGAAATAATCTCAGACAAAGATCCTGCAGTCATAAAGGAGAAGCAGACCTGGGACTTCATACCTAGTTCAAGTATCTTTTTAAGAAATTTTGTACAATGTATTCAACAGTCATTTACAGCTAATTTGCACAATTTTGGAAATTTCTAGTAGTGTCTAAAAGAATAGACTTCCTTGCTCTCAGAAGCTCTTCTGAGCTTGAAGAAGTTGCAAGTTGCTTGCTTCAGCAACACTCTTACCTCTGTACCACTCCATTTAAATAAGAGTACTGATAAAGATTCCTAGAGCTTACCCATGACAAACATCCACATGAATGGAGCTGTGGGTCTGAATCCCTTCAATTTGCAACTGAAAAAAGCCTCAGGCACATTATGTTACAGTTTTGGGAAGCTTGGTGATTCTTCTCCTCATGTTTATTGTGAGCAAAGAATGATTTCTGCTGCTGTCAACAGTAGGTGGGAGGATGTGGGGGTAGAGCCAGAGCGTACAGTGGTGATATGTGGAGCACTGCTCCATAAGGCAGAACTAGAAAGGACTGACATCCTTATATTTAGGTTCTGACTCATTCTAAGACTGCCACTCTTCAGTCATAAGATTTCCCACTTTCCTACTTTCATTTTTTTAGTAATTATTTAAATCTACTACCTCAGCTCTTTTCCGTATTGATTTCCTCAGATCAGATCCCAGTACCGTTCTCCAGCAACCACCTCCTCCTCTTTCGTATAGTCTACTGAATTCTTGCTGCCTTGCCCAGAACTGGCATTAAAAATCCATGCTGCTCTTTCTCTCTCTTCAGTTTTTAGTTCTTGAAATCTTCTGCACCTCATCACTATTCCCACAACCAAGCCTCACCACTGCTATTCTTACTCATTTCTGTTTCTCCCTACTACATTAAGAGCTAACACTGAAGACCCCAACTGGAATGCAGAAGACAAAAGTTCTACATTCTGCCCTCAGATCATGTAGATCGGGTTTAGAGGCACAACTGAATGTCTTTTTTCTTCTGGCTCCAGGTGACACAAATATCACCAGGACAGATAATCAAGTAAACACCATCTATTGCTAGAGGTGGAGATCTGAGCTAGCCTGAGAGACTTGTGGGGCTAGTAGACCCTTGCTGAATTCTTTATTTAGCCTTCAATTTGACGTGGCCAAGAGCATCGGCTTGCTGGCTTATCCTCCCAACACTTCTCAAAAGTCATTTACAAGATGCTAAGGACCTATGTCTCAACATCTCTTTTTGACTGGTGGATGTGGAGATAGAGCCAAAACAACAGCCTTGTGCAGAGCCAGCTTCTGATCTTTGACTTAAACTGAGGTTTTGTCTGAGACTCAGTGAAAGCAGGATTGGGCCCTCAGCTGCAGCTCAACATGGAGGACTCAAATATTGCAGCAAGAGAGAAGGTGTGAAAGGAATACACACATGCATGCACATATTCTTACTTACTTGCTGTATTTGTCATCATATTTGCAGATATAGCTAAGGTGAGCAGCAAAGGCTTCAACTGCCAATGGACATGGAATTTCTCCACTTTTTCTCTTAATTATAACTCCTGCATCAATTAGAAACATAACAGTCTCAAATTAAAATCATAAGTCTAGCAATTAAAAGATATGGTTTCTATATACAGTTTTTTATAAAATAAACCTTATTGACAGTTTTTGCCCTAATACTGGGAAGTTATCTGTAACAGAGATGCTCACTTGATTTTTTTTCCCATTGGTAATACCTTGAGCAAGTGGAAGGAGAAGAAGAGGGATCATTTTTCAGCTGGAAATGAAGAGAGGTTAGACACAAACATCTTTGCCATACATTCAGAAAAAAACATACATTGCTGTAGTCCCACAGTAGCCCCTTACAGACAGTATTAGTCTCTCCTTTTTTGGTTCACAATAAGTTGTGGTCACCTCTAGAGTGGTGACCTGCTGTTATATGCTTTGAATTCTGAAGTCCCAAATGAGTCCCTTGAAATTAAATCCTTTGCTTATCTCCACCCACGGGGACCAAGAGCAACATTACCTCCACTTTTCCAGATGCTAATTGACACAGAAGAGAAAATACAATAAGAAGGAGTCAACTGGATAAACTCCGTCAAGACAGAGGTGATGCTAGCGTGTGAGTTGAAGGAGCCACGCAGTATCTCTGAAATGGAAAGCAGCCTGATTCCTGCTGTGGGGAGCCAGAGCTCAGATGTACACTTAGGTTGCTCAGTGGAGCTAAGCACACATTTCTCTGCCTGCGAGTGATGCTCCCTGCCCTGCCTGGTCAGCTGGCTTGGTAATTCAGCTCATCATGGGAGACGATTATGCTGCCTACTGCAGAAGTCCGTGGTAAGGCAACAGGTCACCTTCAGCCACCTACAAACCACTCTCTGCATTGACAAAGATGTGATGCCTAGAGCACGTTACTCCAAAAATGGGTCCCGTTCCCTCACATGGTCTATCTTTGACCTGGCCTTATTCAACACTACAGCAGTAGCTCTCCTAAGAAACTCTCCTAGCTATTTTCTGATTTACTGTTCCTGTCCTCCTTCCCCACTCCTGGGGGACGCTCCTTGTAGGAGGGAAGGGTGATTAAAACAAACTTACAGTATAGGAGTCTGTTCCCTAACTTTTGACTTATGTCCTCAAAGGGTTCAATGGTCAGCTCTCCAAGGTGTGGACCACCCTTGTTCCATCTCTATGGCACTGTCTAGTGAGGATCCATACTGTCTCCCTATATATACCATCAAAATTTCTCCAGGTCTAGAGAAGCATAGGCTTCATTGCATCCTTTCTCAGCATTGTTTCAGTACAGGTACAATTCTGGGCTTTCTCATTTCTCAGGCATTCAAAAAAACCTTTCATTGCCTTCTTTCTGCCAACTCTTTTACAATCATCCCTAAAATGCTACTCACGTTTTGATTATAGACTTCACCATTTCATTCCTTCAACTGGAAGTCTCATTCCATCTGTTATCTCTGCCAAGCCCCCTGTGCTATTTTGAAGCAAGACTTGTGACACTTACTAAATGTCATGTTACAGCTGAGCCATGCAGCAACTTATTTGGGGTCTTTAAAGTCTGATTTTTCAAGAGTCCAAAATGATATCACCTCTAAATTGTTCAATGCACTCTCCTTTCACTTCTGCCTCACCCAAGCTGGATGTAAACGTAGCTCAAGTGGAGAGAAGTGGGGGGAGGAACAATCAAATAAATAAATCCTTCATTACATGCACATAATTATTATAGTGTGGTTTTGATCCTTTTAATGAGTACTACAAAATCTGACCAGCATGAGGTAAAGAGGACTGATACATCACCAGCCTGCTGCATCAGTGCCACAAAATCACTTGCCATCCCACCAGGGCAGTTCAGGAAAGGACAAGTATGTTCTGGTACCAGTGTTTAAAAAGAAAAAAAAATCCCCTTCTTTCTTCTGCTCTCCTCTCTTTCTTCCCTTTCTCTTCCTTTGGAGATTCATATATCCTTTGCAATTTGCTTAGTATTCGTAATCCTTAAAAGAATGCATTGCAGTGGCAGCTATATGGGTACCATATATTCCCTCTCACTTTCTATTATATTCCACATAACATTCCTTTGTTTTGAGAATATAAATAGCTTTATAGGCACATTATTTTTTGGCCTTTCCTAGCCTTGCTTCTTAGCCATATGCTACCTCCCCACGGAAGACAACAGCTGGAGCTGGGTCCTTCCTGGCTGCAGGTCTCTGTGGAAGCGGTCCAAAGCCAGCCCCAAGCCAGCTGACTCACCGGCACATCTGATGAGCTGTTTCCCCTCCTGGTCCTCCCCCAGCATCACTGTGTTCCCATCCTTGGAAGCACTCCAGTGAATGCTCCGCCTGCGCTGCAGCTACAGCCTGCCTTTGCCTCCATGCTGGAAGGGCTGCCGGCTTCTGGCTTCCATGCTGGCACCTTAGGAAGGGATCAGCTTCTGGGGTTTTTTTAAACCCTTTTTCTTTTTTATTTAAAATTTTAGACTGTATGCTCATCAAGCAAAGCTTGGGAAATACCACTCCAAATGAAACAAGGAGAAAGATAAAGGTTTGTTGAGACGTGTTTGTTTCCTCAAAACACTTCTAAGCCTATCTGTGATTTTACAAGAATCATGAGTTGGGTTTTTTTTAAATGTGAGTCTCATTAATACCAGCACTTGCATCCAACTTGGCAAACACTGAGATTTCATAACAATATAACACTGCGTGATCCAAGCGCTATATGACTTTTTATCAGGACTTTGATTTGTTACAGTTCTTGATCAGAATTGCAGACAGTCAGCATTGCACAATGTCTGATTGTTCGAGGTCTTCCCATCAGGGTCCTCTGGCCCCCTCCCCACTGTCAGCATACTTGGACATAACCTCGTGACTGTAGGCTCACAAAGGGCACTTGGAAATGTAAAGCTGAAACCCTAAGCTCATCCATCCTGAAACATACTTTTTAACATTATGCTTCTTGCCCCAGACTTCCCAGTTCTGGGCCAATCTTAAAAGCTGATTTTTTTCAGGAAACTAGACTGTCACCAGACACCCCTCACTCCGGCTTCTCCTGGGCTAAGAACAACACAGGGACTTAAACAACTGCTTCATACAACTGTGATGGCTCCACAGCATCTCCCATCTCCTCACAAGTCACTTGCAAGATGCCAACACTCCATTTACAGCTCTTTACTCCTTGCATATGTGGCCCAACCTTTGTTTTCTACCCTCAATTATTGTCTGTTCAGCTTTTAATTAGAGCTAGTTGGTGAAGAGCACTTGTAACAGTTCTCAGAAAGAAGATACTTCTTAAAAAGATCTTGGATTCAACAGTTTTTTGATAGAGACATTATTCTGGTCATCTTGCTGTGTGGCAAGTGAGGCTGCTGCCTGCTCCATCCTGCTACATACGAAAAATAGAAAATATTGTAGACATTTCTAGAAGGTACTAATGGAGATGCTAGGGAAGTGAGCACCAGATCTAGAGTGAAAAAACAAAAATGCAGTTTTGTCCCACAGATGGGGAGGTTTGGGCCAGCACATAGATCACCTGCTTTAGAATAAGGGTAACTTTTTACTCTCTAGGGGTCCCAATCTCATTTGACTTCTCAGTTTTTCTACAATACAGGCACAACTCAAAATTAAACTCAAGTTAAAGCTTAAGGGAAATTAAAAACCCAATCAGATTTTGTTCTAGGCAGAAACTACATACTTGACAGCAGAGAAAGGAGGACATTTTTGCAGGACTAAAGGAATGAGACTCATCCTTTAGTATCTGAGATGATGCCTTATGACATGTGGGTTTAAAACATCCATAATAAATAACCTGCTGCATCTAAGAATAGTATTCCTAGATCAGCTCTGACAAGTGTACTGCCCTTCTGATGGTTCTGGCTAGGGTGGGATTTGCACTCCTAATACAGGCAAGTACTTTCTTCACTTTCCTCTAAATTGCAATAAAATAGCTAATTATTAGTTATGTCCACCCCTTTTCTTATCCTAAGTGTTCTTTTGACCATCTCTTGCCTTCTGTTTTTAAGGTTTTCTCCTTATGGACTCCTGCAGCCTGCAAACATTTATGCTCAACCAAGTGCAAACACACACCATGCATCACCAGGCAATCCCACTGGTGCCACTCTCAGTTCAACTACCCTGCATGGGTTTTAGTCCCCTTTGTCCTTACCTCCTCTCCCATATAACACATGTGCTCAGCAGGTGCTCACATGTGCTCACATTAGAGGCTTGCCTCAAGGAGCATACATTCCTCCCCTTCCTCCTCTATATTTACACACTTTAGAGGAGACTTTGGTGGTCTAGCTTCAAGTTGGCTTAAACTAGCTCTGCTGCACTGACTTTAGAGATGCCAAATCAGAGGCAGGCAATCTGGTCTCTTGCCTTCCCACTGAGTCTCCATCTGTTCCTAGGTCTTCACTAGAGACTCTCCCCAGCATCACTCTTTAAAAAGCCAGTCTGTTTTCTGCTCTGATTCACTGTGAACTATGTCAACTGTCCCAGCCAGCATTTGGTGAGCAGTGTATTGGGCAGGCCTTGTCCATCACACACAGAGGTCCTAATTGGTGGATGTTAAACTACCTCACACATAGAGCCTACAATCCCATCTATGCCAAAACAGACCCAAGGTCAATCACAAGCACAACGGCTCACACCTCCATGTGCTCCTTGTAAGGACAGTTTGCTTTTGCTCCCCCTTTTAATGGGCCAGTTAACATTGATGTTTACAGAGTATTTTTCTAATAATATTTATGAATTATAGCCAAATGCTCCATGATTGTCTATAAAAAACAGGTGACATGTAGTGATAACTCTTGTCCAGTTAGTGCAGCTGAATAATCTAAATCAGCAAAATGCACAAGGAAAACAGCACAAATCCTGATGGCGAATGCCCCTCATGGGAAGCAACACTGTTCCAGGGACTGACTTTAGCAGGGTCTCCAAAGTGTAGTATTTCCTTCACATATTTTCAGCATTGTGCTCAGACACCAGCCCATCTGAGTCACCAAGTTGTCACTACACTGGGGTGCCCAGCAGAATTCCTCTGGATGAGCCACACTTTGTTAAGGTAGTAAGCTTCCTGGGAAGGCATTGAACAACACACTAAGTCAGCTTCTCAGCTTACCATACAGTCATTTTTGGCATTAACTTTGCTTACGCAGTCTGTACACGCATGTGAGAGTTGCTTGGGATTCAGAAAATGAGTGTAGAAGGTGCCTTTGAATTGGTGGCTTTACATTTAAAGGTTTAGGTTATTCTTATTTGTTTCTAGCAGTTATACATAAATCTGAATAATAAAAAATATAAGAAACTGAAACAATATTTTCACCGAAAAACTAATTTTAAGGAGTTAGCTAGTCATATTGCATTTAACAGAAGTTTCCAAACATTCTTAATACCATCTGTATACTTTCAAAAAGGAAAAGACTTCAGTTTCAAGAAGCTCTTGCCATTATTTGAACCATCCAAATTATCTGTTTTGGTTTTTTTTCATCAACTGCTAAAATCAATTTAACATACAACAGGAAACCTTAATCATATTTACTTCTGGCAAAAAGATGTTTGTTTGTGACTAAGTTTTTACTGGGTAAGATAAATTAATTGTAGGATCTGCTCAGAGTTCTAAGTACATCATGATGTGTATTAATTTTTCTTTAGCAGCAATCCTAGAAGACGCTTTGCAAATGGGGGTAGTATAGTCATATAAGTCTTATATAGTCTTATATAGTCTTATATAATCATCTTCCCTTCTCTGACCATCACCAAAGATATAATCTTTCTACTTGAAAGGATACTGCCTCCATCAGCTCAGGCAAAAGAGGCTGCAGTGGGCTTTTAACCTTTGTATAGGAAAAAAGAACAGCTGAAGGAAGACAAAAGGGAATCACTACTGCTACTGTTTATCTAGAATGTTACGACCAATTATGATCAAGCTCTTTGTTCAGCCTTATTATCAAAATCAGTGACTCATTTTGCCTTATGACATAAAGCATGTGCACTTTTGAGATGAGAAGTAGGAATAGTGCTTACCTTGTTGAACCGGTGAATAGGCGTTGGTCAGAAAACGAAAGTGCCCTTTATTGTACCAGCAGATCAAGGACATGTTTCCCTTCATTCTTATTCTGTACTGCCCTCTGGACTGTGGAGTTTCAGAATTGTTCAGCATGGATGGAGGTAGGCCTGTGCAGTCACTCTTCCTGGTGCTCAGCAACCCACAGCAGTAAATCTCTGTATATGAACAAACATACTCCCTCATTGCATGGACCCAAAGAGCAAAAACAGAAGAGCAAGTCTGAGTGACCTAAGTAGAGAAAGAACTTGCCCTACAACATTCTAGTCGAAGAGATATGTCAGCCAACTGGTTTTCTTCTGTAATACCAAAGATTTGTGTCCTATATTAATGTCTCTGGAAACAGAGACAAGTGGAGAAAGTCTACTCTCTTGATTAAATGTATTCACACCTCCTGCATAGTCATGATGAAATGACAAGAAAAATAATTCAGGGTATCTTCCTAGCAATAACATCTACAATCTGTGTAATAGTCTTCACAACATGTTTAAAATTGGTCTGAAAAAACCTCCAACGGTGATACGCATTATGGGACAAATCAGAATTTATTATCCCAGAGAGTCTTTGATGTTTAGCTAAGAGAATAAATTGTGGAAGGAGCAGAGAGGTAGGGAAAGCTATAGCATCTTAGATGATAACTGAAATAAATTCTCCTACATGACTCCCATGATGCTTTTAATCACAATATACATAGGTGGCAAACTGGTTTAATCTACTGCTTTCATTGTGCTGCCAAGTTCCTCATTTTCAGTTCACTACCCCTTGCGCCTGCATCATCTGGTTTACTAAGGAAATGCTGCTTAAGCAGTTAAAAAACACTGAAACCACTGGCTGATTTAAAAAATGCGTATGGCAGAAGGATGGAGAAGATGGAAATACAAGTTCAGTGAAAACTGATTTTGGGGAAAGGAGATAAACCACACAGTGCCTCAGCTGAGCGAACATTGATCTTGTCCTGCACAGACATCATAGGCTCTGCAGGCGACACAGTCTGCTGCTCACAGCTTCTTGGCCTGTGAAAGAGGCAATGAATAAAATCTAACACCACAAAACACACCTCAGTGCAGCCAGGTGGGCACAAACAAGGTTTGGAAACAATATTAATAATAATGCTTGAATTTGTCATTAGGCTGTGAAATAATAACAGCCTCTTTCTGTTTGTCCAAGAGAAGCAGATCTTGATCAAATTTTTCCAAGGAAATTTTGGATGGAAATTTCCATGGTCTCCCTCAGTTTTATGTTAACCCACTTGAGTGGAAAAAAACAATGGGCATGGAAGCAGGTGACATCTGTGCACATCTTGTGGTGGTTTAAAGCTCATCTGTCAGCTAAGTCTGCTTGATCAAATTTTCCATCATGCCAAATTTTGCATGGTACCCTTACAGAGGAAACGCAAAGTCAGAATACAGTGTCTGGCTTCCCCTAACCACATTACCTCTGTTCTTGGGTTTCCTTTTATGTGGCTCTTCTGCCTCTGTCTTTCTGGAATGACCTAAGCTCTTCAGTGCAGGTGAAGCTTTTGTCCTTGGTTCATACACTGATTGGCATGCTGAGCATTCCCTCAAGAGCTCACAGATACTACAGGAATACTAATAAAATAATTGAAAATACTCATTAATTAGTCCAGTTGCTGTGGGCCGATCTACAAGGAGCTATGGCTCTTCCATCAGAAATTTAAGCCACTTATGTCAGAAGGTGGTAACTAACACAGCAATGGGGAAACTTCATCCTCAAGGACGAAACCTGCACTCCATTGGTTATTTCTAATGAATGAATCAGTCCCTGGAAATCAGTAAGTTCCTTCCACAAAAGACAGTGAGAGAAGCCTGATGACAACAATCAATATAAAGGTGTGGGGGGGTTTAATGTCTTCTGTTGCTGAGGTACGCGAACAGCAGGGCACGTACCTGCAGACTTTGCCATTAACATAGCTAACTTTTAGAAAGCTTTCTTCTAGCCAGTATTAAGATCTGCCTGCTCTGATAAGCCAGCCTGAGAAGAATTTCTTTAGCTGCCTAAAGTTTATGATTCACTGAAACGTGATACTTTCTCCAGCAGACTGCAATGGTATAAAACCAAGTTAATAACTACATTATTGTGGTAGAGTTTCAAAACAGCAACAGCCACCTCTGAGAGCCCATAATAATTAATTGTAGCCTTTCCTTTTATTGTAGGAATAAGCCTGCAGAAAGCCTCCAGCAGATGTTTCACTCCTCATACAGAATAATGGGAACCACTTTCTCTCTCAGGAACACATTGTGTAACCTTCCTGCTGTATAGCCTAGAAAAGTGCAGCACTTCTGCAGATTTACTAGCATTTCTCATTGTGGATGACACCCTTAATCTGTAGAATTTTTTAAAACCACCCAGTTACTATGGCAATAGAAGCAATAAAAATTATGTCCATCTGGCTCAATGAAGTTTTTGTGTGTAATTAAATCAGGATCACAACAGGTATTTGCCACACACATGGGAGTCAGTGGAGACAGGTTGTCCTTCTCTGGACTTCTTAAACTGGAAGGGCAATATAAATGAATAAACCTACGACAGTTTAGCAAAGAAGAGGAAATGTGTAGTCACCAAAACTCATTCCCAGAGTCACCAGTCCCCAGAGAGCTTGTGCTGAAGCCTGTTTCACCACTTCTTCACTAGGACCATTCGCAAAGGACATCAGGCTAGAGCTAATTCTGGCAAAAATACACATTCTGCAATCATTTATTCTGCATGAAACACAGGGTCAAGTCAGAAGCTGGGGGGGCTGTTGTGGGGTGGAGAAATGACCTTGCTTTAGTCCATGTGCTGGAGTTGCAGGATCCTGCAAAGCTTGTGGGAATGCCATGGTCACCCAGAATGATAGCACTTGCAGCTTTGCCAACACCAGCCCCTCTGCAGGACAAAGCCAGCTGTTTCTCCTGGTTCAGAATGTGCAAAAGGGACTTCCAGGAATCATTTGTTTAAGGGAAACATGAGACACAGGGCTTTAGGAGGTTCTGTCCTCTACAAAGAACACCACCAATGGTTAGAGAGGGAAAAAGGGACATGCACTATGAATGAATGTCACAGCGAACAGCAGTGACAGCTGTCTGCTTGCAGAACAGAGAATCTGGGGCATTTCAGTGCAGGTTTCCAGTTCTAATCAGTGGCCAGAGAAAGAAATTCTTTGTACATCCCTTGAAAAACAAAAAAGAGGTCTATTCAGGTTTTTGATTTGGAAAAAGATCAAAGTGTTCTGTCTTATTTTCTGAAGTTTTCTCAGTTCTTGGTATCTTCACAGATCTTACAATAATGTTCAGCGACATCTCTTTATATTACTAGGCACATTATTGTCTCGTGTGGTACAGTGAAGATGCTACACAGCAGGCTCTCAATAAAGAACATTGTGTTTTTATCATGTGGGGGCTAGGGTTAGGGAAAGTGAATGATAGTTAAGATTCCACAAAATTTTTATAGAATCACAGAATCCAATCAAGTAAAGCACAATTCAGGTTGAAAACCAACTTGGGAGGTCTCTAGTCCCGTCCCCTGTCAGAGCAGGGTCAGCTCTGAGGCCAGACAGCGCTGCTCAGGGCTTTATGTTGTCTGGGCTTGAAAACCTCCAAGAACATAGACTGCACAACCTGTCTGGACATCCTGCTTCACTGCCCTCAGGAAAAACCTTGCATCTAGCCTGAACATCTTTTGTTTCAGCCTGTGTCTGTTGTATTTTGTCCTTCCACAATGCACCACTGTAAAAAGCCAGCTCTGTTCTCTCAATAGGGTAGCATAAGGCTGCTGTTGCATTCCCACAAAGCCCCTTCCCAATCTGAACAAGAACAGTTCTCTCCCCACAGCAGAGCCTGTAGTACAGCCCCTGGTCAGGTTGGTGGCCCTGTGCTGAACTTACTCCAGTTTATCAATGCCTTTCTTCTACTGGGGGGCATGTTGTCCAAAACCATAGGAGACAATAATCAGCTCCCTCAATCTATAGGCTACACTCCTGTTAACAGACCCCGGGACAGTGTTGAACAACTTTGCTGCCAGGGCACGCTGATGACTCATGTTCAGCTCACTAGCTACCAAGACCCCAGATTCTTTTTCATCAAGAATTTTGAGAGAAACTAATATTGTTTTAGTGGGTGATTCTTTCTAGATTTTCCAGAATTTCCTTTAGTTCCCTTAAACTTTTATGTTCCCACAAAGTTTATAGCTTCCAAGCACGAGCTTATTTAAATCTTCCCCTATTTTTCTGTTGACAGTCACGAGAAAAAGCCACAGAAACCCCAAACAATAAAGCACTTAATATCAATTTTTTTTTCAGTTCCCCATGAGATCTTTCTACTGCTGATCCTGCTTTAGCCCAGAAACTAAATTTTCTTTAACAAAAGAAGTAAATTCATCAGTTTAAGAATGGGTCTTGAACTGTCATGAGCACCTGAGCATAGCTGCTTTTCAA